TGAACAGAAAGCCAGAAATAACTGTACGCTCTGTCTACTTAAACAACCATTCATACCTTCTCATTGTAAATTTCCAAATACGACATGCCAATGCTGTAGTCCCATCCATCACTCGCATCCTTGGCTTTCACCAGCTTGAAGACCTCACGAACAGCTCGGGGAATCACACCAGGCTGCTCTGAACTCCCCAGCATGGTGTGGGTCTTACCTGTGAAAGAGGATGCAAAAGCCTAGAGTTAGAAAAGGGTGTCTTTGGGGAGCCAAAATATCTATAAACAAAATCATTGTGACCTCTCTCGAGTCTTAACAGCTTAATTACAAATGCATGTGCACAGCTAATATACACGTTTCTTGAAACCCTGTAGACTGTGCTTCAACATACCAGCTCCTGTTGGCCCATAAGCAAACACACTAGCATTCTGTCCGTTCAAGATGTGCGGCAGAATGGGCTTCACTGATGAGAGGAAAACGTCTTGCTGCGTCGTTTGTTCACCATGAAAAACGTCGAAGCTTAAAACAATAACAACAACCACAGCTCTCTTAGTATTTAAAGCTAGACAATCACTGAAATCTTTACCGATATACATATATACATAACAGATTATTAGGCAGGCACTGACTGGTATTTAACAGTTTCTGTGGCGTTCCTCCAGTTGATTATCTCCAGGTTTTGAGAGTCCAGGCCTCTTACACACGGTCCCTCGCTTTTCTCATCTTCTTTGTTCATATATGGTCGCAGACGAACAGCTACGCGGACCCTGGATATCTTCTTGTTTCCTCCATCTGATACCGCCACACGCGTCGCCATTATTGCGCTTCCAAAAAGAAAGGCCCGAATAAAGTTTAATAATAAGCTAACTAGTTAGCCACGAACGTGCTTGAAAAAGACAGTTTGTGTATGACAGCACTGCATTAAAACGCATGACATTCAAATGAAACCTCTCCTGATAAGCTGTGTTTTCCTTACTGACAAAAGCCTCTCTCGGCTAATAACAAGCTAAAGCTGGATAGCTCAGTCATAACTCTCCCAGAGAAGGGATGCTTCTCGCCTGGCTAACAATAGTCACAAAGCCAAAGCCTGCTATATGCTTACCGATATTATTTGAGAACGTCTGAGACAAGCCACACCTTTGTTATGCCCTAAATTTTCCTTCCAGCAACATTTCGGACGTTTGGTTTTAACAATGGCGACCGCGTCCCTTAAAAACTTGAGCAACTAACCGAACACTTTTTCAAATGCAGAGCGCAGAAACCGGAAGCGGCCGTAAACCAATCAGAACTCGCACAAATACTGGCGCCTGTTTTACGTCATGCGTCCATATTAATGAGATTTGTGGCTTTTCTGATTACATTTGTCAGGTTTACGCTACACAAACGTACATATACGTACGTTTTAAAAACAACAAGAACAACATGAACAGAAAAGCAAAGGAAGCTAATACAAATTTCGCCCTGTCTGCCCTAAGACCTGCTCGCGCTTGCGCAGTGTACAGGAAGTCGCGTCGAGCGTAGATCTCCAAACCATTCCCCTCTACTGCTGGAGTGTCCGCTCGCAGTGAGTGTGGATTATCCACATGATGTTGTATCAACGGTGAGGTGAAGCTCCCCCGCCCCAGCAGTGCAGAGGCTCAGGCAGATCCCTACAGCCAAAATGGCGCAATGTTTACGTCTGTGCATAAGCGTTTGTTATACTTAGTGACTCTCATGGGGAGTTTTTACTGGAAAAGTATTTGACTCAACGTTTTAATCGCTTTCACAGCAGCACTGATCCAGAAGCCGTT